AAAACAGTGAGAACAAAAAACCGTAAATTCTTTTTTATTATGGATTTTCAAAGCTTCATCCGTTAAAAAGAGCGAAGACAGGCGCAATGCCACCTATAACACTGAACACCTCATTGTAAAGCTGAAACAAAAATTTGAACTCAAATTCATTCATTTTGAAAAATTATACAAAAAGGAAGCTTCAAGTCATTTCTGTTTCTTACGGTTTCATACTATGGAGACAAATGATACAAGAGAAATCTTCCAAAAAAGCATAATCGCTTTTGGTACACCAAATCAGCAGTTTTGAATGAAAAATTTAATAAACCTAAAACTCGCGATATCCTGCTCGATCCAAAACAGAGACTCGTTGAAATGACGGCCGAGTTTGGCTCTAAGGTGTTCCCTCAAATTCTATACAATAACGATGACAATATTCATTCACGATTGAGCAACCCTTAAACCAGTCAAACTGCGCACAAAAAACAAGGCGATATTTTAAAATAGAAAAATTTATGTATGAGGCTTACTGATTGCTAGTAGCGCGCCGAAGGGGGCGGGGGTTTTATCAACCTCGCAATAAATTTTGAAACCACTGCTCATAAGGGCTTGAACACGATAACTCACTTGTCAAGTTGGAAATCAAAATTGAAGAAACAGGTTTCTCATATGTTTTTGGTACTCTTGCGATCTGCTTTTTTCGGTTTTAGATAATTAGCTTTAGAATAACGGTATTAGATAATCCGTTTTAGATAATTAGCTTTTTCCGAATAAAGCTTATATAGGAAAACCAAGGAAAACACACGTCAGGGCCATTAGCTTCACAAATTACAGAAGTAAATCAAAAACACTTGCATTTACGATGCAAATTACTGACAGCACCTCACGTTTCCACGACGTGGCAATTAAACCGAAAAAACATAAGCAGACAAACAAAAGCCCGACAGTTCATTTTTTTGCAATTTCATATTGAAAAAAATAAGTTCCTGCCTGTACTCGAAACCCACATCTAAGGGCACAAAGGCGACCGGGTTACCTCTGGTCTAAAAGAGAAGCAGCATTGCGATAACGCGAGAGCAACTTGACAGTTGCTTTCCTTATGACAACCTAACTTTTGAAACTTTGACCGATTTGGCAGCGCGCATAACTTCTACAAAAATAGCCAGAACCTTTTCAAATAGAAAAAATCTATACAATTATCACCCCATTACGTCTACTAAAAATTCTAACATTTCCTCTATAGCAACTTCGTAAGCCCCCTGCCCTTATATGCTTTCGATGACTAGTGACAAAGCCTAAAAAAAATTATCTTTTAATTTGTACGTTCAGAATTATACCAACTTGAACCGAAATGAAGGTGGATGTGGAGTGGATCAATGAGCGTCGCCATCGTCTTCATCTCACCAGGGAATTTTGTTGAGAACGTAAGGGATTTTGACCCAATCCCGTTTAGTGGTGACCAGTGTAATCTAACATTATTGCGAAACAAACAAGAGATTAAATTTTTAGGAAAAATACAGCTCAAAAAACTGAAAACTGTTATTTCGCAAATAATACGGGCACACACAACAAGTCTGCAGAGGAGACTTTCAATGACTTTACCACTCTTGTGGATAAAAGTTAAGATCTCTTTCAACCTGATGTCGTCGTAGTTATCGAAATGATACCTCTCAAAAATGCACCCAAGAATAATTCGAAAATCAAAATAATTGATGAATTTAAAAATTTGCCGCATGAGAAAAATTAGATAAAAAAGAGAAAGCAGCTGAAAATAAATGTCCTGATCAAAGTCACATCCTAAGTTTATTTGAAAATTGCACATTACGAAAACTATCAAAGTTTTTGAACTTGACTTATAAAAAGGTATTCCATACCTTATGAAAACGCTGATAGGCAATTTATCGAATACTTCTCAAAGTAGCATCCATGTTACTTCTCATAGTAGTCTGATATTAGTGACGACACTGCGAGCCAACATAAAGTGCAGTTTACACTGTTGCGCTATCATAATGATTTATGAATACTTTTTCTCAAAGCCAGAAGAAACTTCAAAAGGGTCCGAATTGCTACTCAAAAAAAAATTCTTTTAAATTTTACTTTAGTATTAAAAACCAACTTTGCTATCAAATTACAAAATTTTTCATGCCAATAGATCAAAAAATGTCAATTATCTTAAAAAACATTTTCAGATAATTAGACTGGTAAACATGACTTCTCCAACTGCGCTTTTCGGTTTGGTGAAACATGGCTAACATCTTAAGACAACTCAGTCACATGCAACCCCAAAAGAACATGTTCTGATTTTCCGTTAAAATAAAGGCTCCGAGAACCCAAAAAAAGGGGGAGGGCTGCTTTTTATAGTACCAAAAATGTGAAAGCACGGTTAAGGCCTGATTTTAACACTTTTCATCTTCGGTGTGAAAACTTGTGGATCGATATTCAAGTTATTTAAAGTCAAGCAAACTAAGTAAACGTATCTTACTTTCCTGAAAACACCTACATACTGACTTTCTTGAGTTGCGAAAAGCATCAAAAAAGCAGCCATAGGAAAAGCAAAATTAGATCTGATGGTTGTAATTTGAAATATCTAATTACACCTACAAGACCTGCTGGTAATCCATTCATTGATTATATAACCTATGATAACAGTTTAAAAACAGTCGGTACTTTCATGATTGGCTTTCCTATACAAAGTCATCGCCTTGTTTTATTAACAAATATGGAATTTAACAAACAATGCCCTAGGAAAATTAAATACATTTTCGAGAAAATTAATCATTCAGCACGTGAATTCAGAAAATGAGTGAAATAATTAGATTGGTCGAAACTTTATATGGTAATTACTCCTGAAATTAGATTGACTGTTTTGGGGAACATTTATATGAAATCAATTGAATTATGCTCTGATAAAAATGAAAGCAAAGAGAGCCAGAACGATTTCGATAGGTTTTACAATTAACTTACAAAAACAGCGTTCTTAAATTTGGAACCTAATAAGCAAAGTGAGGAACAGCAAAGACTGCTTGTGATATTGCTTCCCTAAGAAACTTGTTTGGCAACGTTTTAACGGATAAAAAACAATAGTAAACTTCCTTGATTTCAAATCCAGTGAGCTTGGCGAATTTTGGTTTGAATTTTATACTGCCAAATATTGTAAACTAAAAATATTTCATCAAAAGGGGATCTCTCTTTTAGGCTTGTTAAAAGAAACGAAATACTTAAACTTCTTCTGGCTTTGAGAAAAGACCTTGGGTCCTTTTGAAATACCAGCTTGGGCCTTACAAGACGCGGCCATAAAAAATCATCTCCAGTAACACACTTATTTAATGAAAACCACGCTCTCATAACTTTTCCGAATAGACGCAAATTGGCTAACATAACACTTTTGTTCAAAAATGAAACACTGAAGACGCAACAAACTACAGACCAATATCTATTACTACTGCGATGGCAAAAATTCTTGAAATCATTCAACAACAAACATCGAGTACCTAGATAAAGTCCATTTGATGAGTGATCATCCATTTGGATTTAGAAAACATTTTTCTTACAAGGATGCTCAAATTTTATCAACAGAAACAAGTCGACAAAAAAACTAGTTGCGGGAGCTCTTTTTCTATTTTATCTAAGGCTTTCGACTCAATTGATAAAAAGTTTCTGTTAGAAAAATTAGAATACTTAGGCGTTGAATGAACACTCTTTGAAAATCGGGAAAAAACTGAATTATTTGCTTTTAGGAATAATCCGAAAAAAAAGAATTAATTCAATTTATAAACGATTTTCTTGCAGTCAAATATTTAGGCCACCTCAATGACGACCAATTAGCATAACAAAATCAGGTTAAAAGCATTTTGAAAATACGGCACATAGGATCAAAACTATCTAAAACCATCTACACCTGATTCAGAACCAATGCTCATTAATTGTCTAGTACTCAGCCAAAATTCTATTTCCACGAGAGATCAAATTCCACGAGAGATCAAACTCGCTCACTCCATTTTTTGCAATAGCCAATGAGCAAAAAAAAACAATTTTAAAGAGCGTTTTCAATTGCTTAATAATCACAAGCTAAACGAGCAAGTTTTCGCAATGTAATTTATTCCACTTTCAAAAAAAGTACAAAACACTTTTTCACAATAAAAAAGTACAAAAAAAAATATTTTTATCTGAACCAATTTAAGACGGACCCAAGCCAAGTGTCGTACGGCAAACCATCTGGGAAATAATTTGAGCGCGCCTAAAGCAGGTCTTCGAGCAAGGATAGTAACTATTGTCTTTGTCCGAAAATAAATTCAATTTATACACTGCCTATTAACTTTGAATAAAATTTGTTAAATTATATCAAATTACACGAAAATCTGTGTTCTTTTTTAGGTTTATTAAAAAGCAACTTCGCAATTTCTTTAAAATGTGTCAGAAAAAGGTCTGATTCCAATCACACGATGTCCTACGAGATTCAATCTACTGACCACCCAAAGAATCCCGCCATTGGTACAGTTTTATGATATTTTTGAGTGACCTAACCACAAAATACACTCGATTTACCCCGAAAAAAACTCGATTTTATGTTCAAAAATGTCAAGAAACCGCCACAGTGAACAAAATATGCTTTTTACCATTTTCCTTCCACTTGTTATTTTTCCGAAAAAATCTAACACCGAATTCCGAAAAATAATTAATTCCTAACACAATCGGTCATCTACAACCTTCTAAAATCAATGGTTCACGAACGAAATCAACTTTTCTCGGTGGTAATGGGAAAACTGTAGAAGATCTCAATCTTTTGCTATAGGAAATAGGGCCTTCTTAATGTTCTGGGAGAGCACGGAAAATCATTTTGGCTGCCCAACTAAAATGCCATATGCTCGAAAAATTCCGACAACCAAAACACAACCAACCGAGAAAAACACAGATCTAGAGGTATCTTATTTTGCATTATAAACACCTGGATTCAAGCTCCTCCGCCATGTAGTTGCATAATTTTTGCGCTTAGGTTCTACGAAATTCGAAGATGAAAAGAAAAATGTTCTACAAGTAAATTTATGATTGATTTTATAGACAATAAAAGTGCTTTGATACAATACACATCGACACTTGATTATAGTTTGAACTAAAAACAATATGTCAAATACTAAGTTTTCAGTTAAGATGCAAGACCTCCGCTTCTTTGACAAATAACCAATTATGGCATCAGTCGACTTCAAATTGGATATTGGTTGTTATTATCATTTGCTTAAGTCTCGCTCCATAAGATGCAGGGATCATATCACGTTACAAAAACTTTACGTCAAGGTGAGTGCAGATTTTTTTTACTCCAGGAGATTTCGGATCTCAAAGCTAATCATGCAATGTTAAAAATTACAGTCACGATTGCATTAATTGCAACCACCCAAAATAGCATCCTTTAGAGATTTGGAAACATACGTTGGAATGGACTGAGTCTCTTTTTTATCAACCATTGCTTCTACGTGGTGCAGTTTATGGTTCCCAGTTTGCACTAACAGACTAGATATCGGGTTTGGTTCAGCCGAATTTGCGAATATAATGTCTGTATTGAGGGAATCGCCCACCATCAACGTTCGGCTCAGGTCTATATTTGTATCTTTAAACTCGTATTGCACGTGCTCCCACATATAAGGTTCGGGTTTTCCAGCATAGATCGGTTCTCTGCCTGAGCCAACTGCAATCATTTTGATAATCGAGCCTGTGCCACAGTTGATTATCTCGGGATTCGGCGTCGGTAGTCGGCTGTCGCTGTTCGTCCCAATAAACGTGACGTCATCGTGCACCAAATACGATGCTGCCGCAGTCGCCTTACCATAGTTAAATTCCCAGTCAGCTCCGACTATGACACAACCAACTCTAGGTTCTTTCTTGAAGTACTGCCATTCTGGAATAGTTTTGGGCAAGTCTAACTCAGCTGCAGCTATTGACTTCAGCCCCATTTTGGCCAGTTCTTCGCCTAAGGCTGGTAGCCCGATATAGAATATAGTATCCTTGTTGGGATCTGCTCTTTGTTGCATCACCTTGTACGCATAAAACGCGGCAGAGGATCCGGAACTGACAATGTTCTTCGGATCCACTGGAGTAAATCCGAGCTTCTTGAATTTCTCCGAATATTGCCTTCTGGACTTCGAGGAATTGTTCGTAACATAGAGTACCTGCTTCTGATTGGCCAAGAGGAAATTGACAGCTTCGATTGATCCTGGAATCGGATCATCGCCCTCCCAGAGAACTCCGTCGCAGTCAAACAGAAAGGTGTCAAATGAGTCCAAAAGTTCTTTGCTGTCCTCGGCTGAAGATATAACCTTGTAGGACATTCTGCCAACTACCATTCTTAAACAATATTGACTTCTGTAATCCTGTAAATTGAACTCACAATGTGCAATTAAATATACAAAACGCCTAAATTATATGTTAAGTTTGAGCATTGAAAGCAAAAAGTTATGAACCACAAACACGAAACAGCTTATCTTAACAGATTATGTACAATGACGTACTCAATTCGCAATGAATCAGAAAGGTTCAAAAGCCGATATTGTTGACGCAACGAATATTTAAAAATTTGTTCAGCTCGAATCAATAAGCAATTTAAAACTATTTTGAAAAATAACAACTGGTACGGACATTCAAGTAAAATAGACTACATACCATCGAAAAATTGTTGCTTTACACATGAGCATCATTCAAATTGCTAATCACGCTCAAAACTCATCGAGACAGTTCATGTAAGAACTACTTCAACGGTGAAGCTATTTTTTTGAAGTTTATGCTCTTTTGCAAATAAAAACACATTTTATGCAATCGAAGAGTTAAATGAAAACTCATGCAGTCTTCCCTGTTTACGTTACTGGCTTGCTAAATCTCGTTCCGCCTTAATATGAAGGCCAGAGAAATTTTTTGTCAAAAACTTCATTCTGCTGATATGCTTGTCTGTCTGTTGTGCTTTTAGCAATAAAAAATAACCGCAATGTCAGACGAGTGATTATCTGAACTCTTCATCTAAAACATTTATCATTAGACTAAACAAACCAGACGCGTAACTACAACATCAGTGTCCTGAAAATAACAAGATATTCAGACCAGTGCTACTTAGAATGCAACACATGCATATAGAGCTAAATCGCATAAACATTAAAATACCAAACTTCAAAATAAATGTTAACAATATCTAGCAGCATTGAGTAGCAAAGAATAGTTTCTAACATAGAGTACCTTCTTCTGATTGACAGCTTCGATTGATCATGAAATCGGTCATCGCCCTCCCAGGGAACTCTGTCGGAGTCAGAAAGAAATGTCTCAAAGGAGTCCAAAAAATCCTTACGGTCATCAGTTGAAGATAATTTGCAACACATTCTGTCAACTAACAATCTTGAACAACGTGAGCTAATCTATATTTCTATATTGATTCTCAAATATACAAAATGCCTAATCTGAATGATGAATTTAAGTATAGAAAGCATACACCACTAAACCACAAACACGCAAAATATTATCTGGACAGACTATAAAAAAGAAGTTTCGAAGTACTTACTTACTTTACTTTAAATTAAAAAGTAGGGTTCAACCGTGACATTGAGCTGAATACCCGGATAGCCAAAAAAATCGTTCTCGGTTAGCCGAAAAATAAATTCGTTCCCGGATAGCCGAAAAACAAATTTTTTCCCGGATAGCCGAAAACTTTTTTATTTCGATAGCCACAAAATTCGATTCGATCCACACCAAAAATTAAGCGCTGAAAATATTATTTTTTTAATCATCTATAATAAAAAGGCTTTTTCCCAATATTGCCCCTGCTCCCGCCCATCAATTTATTTGTAGATCTTCGGAATAGAAAAATGATATGATGGGGAAATGATTGCTTTAAAAAACTAAAAATTCCATCGAGCTTTTTTTCGATCGCCTCAAATCGAGCTATAACAACACACGCAGTAAAGATCTTGAGAAAACTTTGCGACGGATACAAATATTTGAAATTTTGAGAAAACTCGAGGTTTTGAACTCTTTTTTGACGCCTGCTCCCTACGTCCATCATCAAGACACTTATGTAAAATTGCTCTTATTTGTTTATTTACTGGACAGACGAAAAATTCTTTGTTCCCTTATAATGAGAAATATTTTTGTGGATAGCATAGCCAAAAAAATTGTTCCCGGTCAGCCGAAAAAACAGTATTTCGTTCACGGATAGTCGAAACAAATATATTTTGTTCCCGGACAGTCGAAAACCAATTTTGTTCCCGGATAGCCGAAAAAATATATATTGCGTTATTAGCGTAGTCGCACTTTTATAGGTTTCTAATTCCATAAAAACAAAGCTATTACGCATATAAAATGTTGGAGTCAATTGGACTTTTGTTTAGCTAAGCTCCAAAAAAAAACAAGATACTTTTATTGTTCGAACAAAAAGGGTCCCAACTTTGTGACGAATTTGCTTCTTAGTCAAATTTTGCTTGGTTGCTAAATAATTTAATGAGAAACTTTTGATTTTTAGGCATTATTTTGATAAAGTGGAATCCCTCTTAGGCGAAGGACCGAATGGGCGAAAAAAATCAGCCAATCAGATTTCAGTAATCCAAAATTTGGAAAGAAAGCGAGAAAATCTCACAGAAAGTTAACAATTCCAGGGAGTGGATACTAATATTGGCCGAATATAAAAAATGGCAAAAATATGAAAAAAAAAATTCAAATAGTCACTGACCGCTGGCGAATTTCAACAAATTTTGTATTTCAAGCGTTTTGTTATAAAAGAAGCAGAGAATTTCTTCATTTCATTGCTTTTAGTTAAACAGCAATAGATTCATTTTGAAATATGAATTTCGATTTTTTTTGTTTTCGGTCCTTCGCCCATGAGTTCTTCGACCAAGAGACTAGCCCCTTTTGACAATTCACTGACATAAATTTGTTCACGTATTGATCATCAAAAATTTGTTTACGTTATCAGAATCTATGGACTTGTTCATCTCGGATCATTAATAGGCAATTAGGCTTTACGTAAAACTTTTAACTAGTTTTATGTACAACTGGTAGAGACATTCAAGCAGCATGACAGACATGCTAACGACAAATTGTTGCTTTACACGTGATACTCATGCAAATTGTTAATCACGCTCAAAATTCATCGATACAGTTCATGAAAGAACTACTTCAACGATGCAGCTATTCTTTACGTTTATGCTTTTTTTTGCAAATATAAACTCATTTTGTGCAAACGAAGAGAAAGTAAATGAAAACTCATACAGTCTTCCCTGCCTACGTTACTGGCTTGCTAAATCTCTTTTCACACCTTTATATAGAAGGGCAGGGAGAATTTCTGTCGAGAGCTTCATTCTGCGGTTATGCTTGTCTGTCTGTTGTGCTTTTAGCAAAAAAAATAGCAATGTCAGACGAGTGATTATATGAACTCTTCATCTAAAACATTTATCATTAGACTAAACAAAACTGGCGCATAATTACATCAGAGACCTGAAGATAGCAAGACATTCAGACCAGTTCTAATCAGAATGCAACACATGCATTTAGAGCTAAATCGCATTAACATCGCGATTTGTGTGTGATGCCAAGATTTCAATTGTGAATATTCCGTAAAATGAGGTGATATTACAGATGCCTTTTAAGTAGTGGTCAAGTATCTGTCTTCTAATTCTTACTCCGTGAAATTCCGGTTTACACGGGCTACTTCCTCTTTCGAATAAATTTGCAATTAAGTTAAGACAAAATTGTACCTGTCCTCTAGTTGGATCATTAGTTGGATCATTTTGTGGATGGATGACAAAGGGAAGTATAGAGTCATCGTCGAAATTTTCGTCATATTGAATTATTTTTTTTGTATTGTAGTACTGTTAATGTCTAACTTTCAATATGTCTTACTGGTTGATTCCAATTATATAGTCGTACTGGTTTACGAATATATGATTTTTTTTATTCTACGTTTGCCTTTTATCGATGATGGTGTTGCGGATTCTGAGTCTGAAAAAGATTTTTGTTCGTTTACTGGGTTATTTTTATCTATTGAGTCTTTTAGGTCCTGAATTTCTTGTATTCTAGTTGTATCTGATTCTGAAACTGCGTTACGTGTTTTTGAAAATCTTCGTTTTATAATTTGTCTTTGTTTTGCTATTATTTCTTTTTTTTTTCGTGTTTGTCTTTTCGATCTAATATATCCTATTGTTTGTCTATGTGGTGTAAATACAAGATCGTATCTTTCGTTTTGAATTCAACAATTGTGAAGCACTATTGTTTGTTTACTACCTAAATTATCTCTTGACATAATGTTTAGAATGAGAGATGCGAAAGCCAGGGGTTAGAATTTTTATTTCTTCAACTGTTATTTCTTACGTTTTGTGGGTTATCTTAATCTTGGGGCATAGATTGTCGAGGTTAACGAGTTGGAGAGAGAGTATATCAACTCGTCAGAATGATGTTTACTTTCTCGCGACTAAGATTTAATTTAAGAAAACTTACTTATTCTTACTTAGGGATTTGATTTGTGATCAAGGGTTGGAGAATCAATCCACAAAGTTCAGGTACAATAAGAACACAAGTAGATCGTTAGATACTAATTTAAACCTTACTAATATTATGTTGGTTTTAGACTGGGTCAGCTAAGAGGAAGGGCTCAAGTGAAGGATGAGTAACCGAAGTTCTTTACTGTTAATCCTAATTATAATGGTTAGTTTTCTAAAAATTTCTATAAGTCCTGGGTGTTCGATAAGGGTTGGAGAGTGAATAGACGTTTGAGGTCGTTAGACACTTTTTATTATGAGGTGGTGCAAACAAAATTGTTCTGATTGATCCAAGGGAAGCCTTATTATCAAATAATTCAAATGAATAATCGTTAAATTAAGGTTAAATATGAAGATCCAAGGGAAGCCTTGATGATCTGTATTTTTAAAATAAATTTAGATTATCGAAAAGCAAAGATATGCCTCGATAATTACTTAGATATAAACTTTAAGTTGAAAAAAATTATAGGTTTAAAAATTTGTTCAAGGGTTAGGATTTTAAAAGATATTAGTTTTCGAATAAATTTAGATGTTTCAGGTGAAAAAGCGCGGATGAAGAAAAAACGAGTTCTTGAAAAGCAAGAAACTCTTTATAAATTTAATAAAACTAATACAAAATAATTTTCTAACTAAATTTTGTATTTTTAATCAATAAAAACTAATTCTACAAAAACTTTCAAACCTAAATTACTGCAGATTTTGGAAGAAACGATTTGTGTTCTTTTTATCAGTCGTTATTATTGTTATATAATATGGCTATAAAGCATCAAGAAATTTATTGCTTGGAAATTAGGTTTATTTTTCCCAGTAAATTTACTTTCATGTCAGAATGAAAATCAACTGCACAAAGGAATCTGAAGACATATACTCTTTCCGATTTGCGTCTTGTCAGGATGTAGTAGCTTTGTCTATTGGTCGGTTTTTGAACTGGTGTTTGTTGTATGGTTTGAAATATTGGAGTAGATTTATTGAGACGTGGAGACATATCTATTAAATTGTCTTTTCCATCTATCACTTTGCAATTTTGGTCTTTTTTTCTAATTCTAATTTGCTAAATCTAGGTTAGTTATGTCTTGTTCGAGACTTTTAGTCGCACCAGATGAGTTGAAGTCAACGGGAAAAAGTCTAGTTCAGATCATATATACTTGCTCTTTGTTTTATATTATGTAGAATTTAGTGGTCTGAATTAGCTGTGCAATAAGAAATGTTAGACCGGAGATTTTTCTTTAAATTTGCAAAATATTACAAGATGGGATCAAAATTAAATAAGCTATAATCATTTTCACGGGAAGAATGGGGTAGCAAACCGACTCAACCCATTTCTGTTTGCCAGAAGTTTTTTACCGAAGGAGGATGTTTCATATTTACTACATCCTTTTCGGCAAAACAAAAAATCGCTAGATATTATCAGAACATAGCCAACTGACAGTTGGAAAAGAATATTGAACGCACGGAAACTGATAAAAAACTGACTTGTTTTTTCAAGAACCTTCAACTTCTAGATTTCGATGAAAAAACAGGTGGCCTTAAAGCTCTTTGATTTTGTAGAACATTTTATGATGAACGCTTTTTAGTTAAAACTAACCCAATTTGAGAAAACTGGATCAATACGTAAAACTTTTATTTCGCTGGGAAATCTGAGAATTAATTTCCAATTAATTATCGAAATTAGTCATCGACCACGATTTTATTGACCTTTACAATTTTTGCTGTTCGATAGTGGAGTTTGCCTTCCCTTTAAAAAAGGAAAAGCACTGAACTTAAAAAGAAATCACAAGTCAAGCCGCGAAAAATCAAAATTGAGCGTGAAGAAACTTTTTTTCTGAAAAAAAAAATCAGCAAGACCTATATAAGAGTATTCACTGCGTTACTTAGTCTTAATTAAGATTTCGGCAGAACAGATTAGTAGAACAGCCCAGGTTGAGTGTATAAGACGCTCGGCCTTCAATACAACGGTAATGGGTTCGAAGCCCGCTTCGGTCACGTTTGTAGGGGGTCATCCGCCTCCTCAAGGGGCCAGCTAAGCGAAATCAATGACATCTCTCTCGCCAAGAAATGTCAATAGTTAGAACGTTATATTTAGGGGCTAACAAAATAGGTAGAAAAAGGCTTTTTAAAAGGGCTTCAGGTTTTTTTAGGTAAAACTCCAGTGCGCGCCAGTGACTCCATTCATACAAGAATTTTGATTTGTGACAGAAGTCAAAAAAATTTCATTTTGAAAAAATGCAGATGCAAATAAGCTTCTAATCTAAGCTAAACCAAATAGCATTGCAAATAATCTAAGCTACAGAAATTGTCAAATCAATGTTATAGAAAACCTGAACTGAACTTTTGGTAAGTTTTCGTTGAGAAGCTTTAATAAACAATTCTGAATAGAGCAAAAAACAACGGTCATTGAAAAAGTCGAATTGATATAGCTATAGTGATTCTCATAAAAGGTCTACTTTTATACATGACATACATTTTTACAAATTTTATACATTCAGCAATAACTTATAATCTTTAATCCCAGGCACCAAGAGTTTTTATTCCGCTCATAGGACGGTGGCTGGGTGAACTCGGATAATCTGTTATTCCCGCGATGCTCTTCGACTTAGAACAGTTCAACGCATACTTCACAAAATCTCGATGCTCCTGGTCAAGAGTCTCTCGAGCCAAAAATTTCGAACCCTTAACTTGCTCTAAACGACTCAAAAGTTTGCTATTCTCCTCGTCAATGTGCTCAAACTGTTTTGTTCGGTTAATTCCTGCACTATGGCATCGTTTCTGAGGAGGTTTATTTTGTGCCCCTGGATATAGCGGTTTGCGATGGGGTTTCTTAAGCTTGCCCAACAATCGCTCATTCTCGCGATCGATCTCTCTGGCCCTAAACGCGGATACACTCAAGTTCTTTTTCGGCTTACTTCTCGGTCGCATATTTCTGCTAACTGAGCTGAAACAGTTGCTTTCAGTGTCATCGTTGTCCAGTGCCAAGACATGTTCGAGAATCTTCGAAATATCAGTTGCGTCATTATTAGGATTCAGAAGTCTAGTCGATGACGGGATGCTGCTTCGGTTCGTGTTTGAGATGCTAGATTTTGGTCTCGGATTAGTGGCAACAACATTTTTAGTTTTCTTCGTTGGTCTCAAGTTCTTTGGAAATAAAGGTGGACAATTCTGCTGTTTTGCGTACGAAGAGGAATCTTCAGTAACTGTTTCATCATCTGAAGCGAGAGGCGAAACGTCAGTCAACTTTCCCTCATCTTCGCTTCTCGCGGACCGAAGTCTGATTCCGGAAATACGCAGTGATGAATCTAAGTTATCTTCGTCCTCTGCAAACTCAGAACTTCCAGAGGATCTTAGAAAACTTTCGTCATCGCCGCTTCCATCGTCTTCATCAGTCAGAAAATCGTCTTCATAATTGGCGCTTTCTCTAAATTCTGCAGCCTCTACTGGTCGGGAAGATTTAGTAAAGGTTTCGTTGAGTTGTTCAGTTTCAGGCGAATCAAGGTTGTTTTCGTTCTCGAAAAACTTAAGATCAATGCTCTTGAAGAGCTCCTTATCAGTGTACTTCTCGTTTGAATGAAAGCTATGATTAGATGCTGTGCTACTCATTTTCGACCTGAAATATTGTCTCAGTATGTGGTACACTTCTAAACGTCTGAAGATATACCCATGCTGCTTCTACCAAAATTGAACAAATTTTGCCAGGGCAAATACTGTAAATAAAGTAACAATCTGATTATTAAATTTGAACTCTGGATAACCAAAAAGAAAGCAGTAAGAAGAACAACATTCTCGAATGTTCTCATCTTCTGAAAACTTATGTATCACTTCCAGCTTATCCCCCACCAATAACTCAATGCCGTCAGAGTCTTTACATGGAATCTTTTCTGAGTCACCGTATCCCAGATCTGATTTTCTACACCAGTCAACCGAACAGGGCTAAATATAGCCCCAAAATTCATTGGATCTTTAAGGACAATGCTCACAATTTGGCCGAAATCTATTGTCATATGTTCAACTTGTGCTTGGAACAAGGTATTTTCCCGGAGTTTTGGAAGCTTGCAAAAATATCTCCCTTGCCTGTAACTGTGACATTCGACCAGAATGTGAAAAATGCAATCTCTGCAGAATTCGGAATTTTAGCAGCAAGCCTTCCGGATTGGTGGTTTTTAAGAATTAAGGGTGTTTTTGGAACGTTTAGCCAAACGGTGAGGGCTGGAATATTCTGGTATTTTAAATTTTCAAAAATTCGAATGATGACGTCACATTTCTGAGAAATGCTGAAACGGCCATTTTAACAAAAAGCGAGTGAAAAACAGAACAACTTTTATCTGCGATTGCGAACAGTACGAAAATCGAGATTGGAAAACGACAACGAACTACAGAATAGCAGAGAACGTTCCGAGTTGCAACTATTGTGCTGCTACAATAGTTGCAAGGCCGTTGCGAACAACGGTGAAGGGTAAGAAGCCAGCCTTCCGGATTAGCAAGAAATCGAGAACAAGGAGCTTGATTCAGCGGATTCAAGAATCCGGAAGGGTCTCGGGACGGAAACTTTTATTGACTCTGTGCCAGTCGGTCATATTTGGAAGTTTGACCTTGAGAGGAGCAAAAAAAAACACTTGATTTTGGAGTGAAATTTAATTTTTCAAAATTTCGAATGGAACCTGTCATGCACGATTTTCTCGCGAGAACTGAAAATCAGAAAAAGAAGTGAGAACAATTTCAGAACAATTGAGTCGCACACGCGGGAAAGTTGTAAGAAAAAGCAGTAGGAAATTGCTATTCGCAATTTCCATCACTATAATAATCGAGAGTAGAGCTGTCCCATCTGTGACAGAGACGAGAGCATTCCCTCGAATTGGATTATAGCGACTGGAGTATTATTCGGAACTGGACTAGAGTGAACCTTCGGTGGAAAGGTGGACAGCTTGAGTGTCCTAATGGTTCACAAGAAAACTATTGTCTAGAGTATAAACTCGTTCTCATTGTTAAAACTATAAAACATTAGACTCATTTAGTTACGTTATTTAATTCTTGAGTTAACTACCGACTGGATTATTTCCCACTTCTTGAGCGTGCTACTATGTGAGTACAAATTTAAATTCCTAGAGTGTGTTTTATGATTGTTATGTTGAGGTAAGGCGAGTTTTAGGTTGATCCATCTGAAATGGATCAAAGTTCCACTGTCTAATAAAAAAGCAACTTAACGGATTGTTCCAACCCGGTTTTTAACGGCGTTCATGTATTTTGGGTATCTAGAGACCTAAGTATGGGGACGTTTCTAATTCTAGAGTGGGGGGATATTTTAGTAGTAGCCTTTAAGCTGTAACGGGTCGTAGTCTCATGTCACAAACGAACCGAACTGGCTCCGACCGTTCTTGAGGTAGAAAAACACAAGAGATAGTGTCCCTGACCCTTGAGCCAGTGGTTATAGGGCCTATTTTTCTTAAGCCTCATGTGTGACTGCAGTAGACGAATGTTACATAGTGTTTTTATGGCGCTCCTGGGTGTTTACGACATCAAGACTACGGAGTCGAACCCACTTGAGACAGCTTCGGGCTGAATGCCCATTCTAGAGTACCGGCGGTACGGTTCGACAGGAACGTGCAAACCTTCCGGTTGTACCGTGATAGCTTTTTAAGAAAACTCAAGAAAACTTCCTGGTACGCTCTCCGAACCGAGTAAAGGGGGGCAAATAGGGGGACAAAAACACGAGCAAAAAGACAAAAAGCAAAACAAAAAAAAAACCAAAAAAGAATAGAAAAAGGAACAAAAACCATAAAACGAAAAAAGACAGTGACTTTGACACCAGATCAGTTGGATCAAACCTTTATATTAATTAAATAGTATACCCATACTGTTTTATAAGTTCGATCGTTTCGATCAACCTAGCAATTTAACCCAGTAACCGTAATAAAGTGCCCGAGTGTGGGGCGTTGTCAAGGGTTTTCAGATAGTTTGGAACTTAGCTGGACAACAAGGAAACTTGACTGGAAGAGGTGACCAGCCGAGTGGGAGGGTTGTTCAGGAGTACCTGAGCTGAACCAATAGGAGACTCGACTGGAAGAGGTGACCGGCCGAGTGGGAAACTGGTTCAGGAACACTTGAGCTGAACCAATAGGAGACTGGACTGGAACAGGTGACCAGTCGAGTGGGAAAGCAGCCAAGAAGGATTTGACAGTTCTCGAGTTCTCAAGTTGGGCAGAACGGGTATCGTTAGAATCCACATTACATTATAGGAGATAAGTGTAAAATTGGATAAGCGAAATTCCCCAGTTTTGAGGAACGTTTTTACTTGAGCAGGCCTGGAAACAGGTCTACGGTTTTCTCTTGAGAGGTTTAGCACCCGGCGCTTAAAGTAATTTTTAGGCTTAAGAAGGGGGCTAGAAAGGGGGGAGGTTAGAAGGGGGACTGGTTAGGCTAGAGATGAGCGGTTGCAAATTGTAAAAAGGGGAGAAACTAGAGTAACTAATTAATCGACATCGTTGACTTAGTTACATTAGCCATAACACGCGTTGGTGATAATAGGTGAATATCCAAAATTCAACTCGAGTTAAGACTGGTACGCTGGTTGGTTTGGTAGGGGGGACCGGATATAGACAGCTTTTGTGATACCCCATAAGATCACTAGTGGGGGGAGGAAAACGCGTGGCAATTAGGTACCAGACATTTTTTTTAGACGAAAGGTAGACATTGGTCACCTTTGAATTTCAGGTGGGCTCATTTTTCTGTTTTTATTATTTTTCTCACTTAGATTTTTGTTGTGTTTGGTTTTATACGAACAGGTGATCACAAGATACCTGCGCACCTACATTGAAATAGAAACAACCAAAAAGAAGAGGGGGGTCAGCATTTGGCTTTTAAGAGAGGGTTTTTGGGAAAATTTTACTAGAGCTTGAGTGGTGGTACAAGGTACGGTGATTCAAGAAGACCCTACAACGAGGAAGACACTCCGTGACGAGTCTTGGGACAGTACCGAAGAAGTCTTGGGACAGAGCAGTCTTGGGACAGTGGTCTTGGGAAGGGGTCTTGGGACAGTGGTCTTGGGACAGGGTCTTGGGACAGTGGTCTTGGGACAGGGTCTTGGGACAGTGGTCTTGGGACAGTGGTCTTGGGACAGGGTCTTGGGACAGGGTCTTGGGACAGGGTCTTGGGACAGTGGTCTTGGGACAGGGTCTTGGGACAGGGGTCTTGGGACAGTGGTCTTGGGACAGGGTCTTGGGACAGTGGTCTTGGGACAGGGTCTTGGGACAGTGGTCTTGGGACAGTGGTCTTGGGACAAGGGTCTTGGGACACTAGTCTTGGGACACTAGCCTTGGGACACTGGTCTTGGGACACTGGTCTTGGGACAGTAGTCTTGGGACACTAGCCTTGGGACAGTAGTCTTGGGACACCAGCCTTGGGACACTGGTCTTGGGACACTACCCTTGGGACACTAGTCTTGGGACAGTAGTCTTGGGACACTAGCCTTGGGACACTAGTCTTGGGACAGTAGTCTTGGGACACTAGCCTTGGGACACTGGTCTTGGGACACTACCCTTGGGACACTAGTCTTGGGACAGTAGTCTTGGGACAGTAGTCTTGGGACACTAGCCTTGGGACACTAGTCTTGGGACAGTAGTCTTGGGACACTAGTCTTGGGACAGTAGTCTTGGGACACTAGTCTTGGGACAGTAGTCTTGGTACAAGGGTCTTAGGACACTAGCGGAGAGTACTGTGATAGTGACGAATAGTCTTGGGACGGTATAAAAATTGAAGTAAAATTACAGCAAGTGTGTCTTAAGACAAAATAAGACAAATCGAAATAGGTACGGTTGAGACCACATTAAGGGAAATTTTTCAAAGGTTTTATAAAGAGAGCTACAACAAGGTTTTTAACACGTTGTACAAAATTTGTTACCTCAAAATTTTTTTTTTGTTTTATTATTTTTTTTATTCTTAGAATAGAATCGTGTATATAACAAAATTGTAAATAAAAGCAGTTGTAAATAGGAATAATGAGGCGGAGTAGGGTACCGGTGCTCGAAAAAAGGTCAAGTGGATCAAACACGAAATATAATTCATCGCTGCGCGGAACGACATCAACAGGCCCAAAGATAACAAAGAAGAACTTTTCAGTTAACATGGTCAGTACGAGGAGTGGCACCGAGAGCAAGACACGAGAAGATGTGGGGGAAAAACAGGTGGAGCCCACAATCGAAATCGACCTAGAGACACCAGACCAGAGCGTAGATGAAGTGGAGAAGAGGACAACGGAATCCACACCGATGCCCCACGTGGAAGACCAAAGTCCAAAAACCGTGGAGTTTTCACGAATAGACGCATTGGAAGACACAACAGGCAATACCCGAGAGACTGTGAAAAACGACTCTCAAGTGAAAAAGACATCCTTCACAGACAAGTTTGCAATGATGGTCGGACTCAAATCGAAAGAAAACGTGACTGAAGAACCAAAAACAGAAAGAGCACGAACATTTGGTACAGTGAGCACGAAAGCGACAGAAGCCGGCCAGAATGAGGAACAAGCTAAAGCAGAGGCTACGGCCGAAGAGAAACCGACGGCTGACCATGAAGAGACTACCATTGAGCTGGGCGACTTGTTGGCGAAATTAA